CTGTTGTGGGCAATCCTTGATTTGACTGACTGGGAATTATAACAGGCTGTTGATATGTCTGCTGGGGCACTGCTTGGGAACCTTGAGGCACCGAAACCTAAAATTGAGAACACATGAAGATATCCCTCTGCAGACAGTGCCTCTTGACCATTGCCTAGTTAATATAAGACTTTTAAAAAGAAACAGAAAGATCTTCTCACTTAAATTGTGGGTTCATGTTTGTTGTTTCGTGTGGGTGCTTGTACTATTACTACTGGTCATCATCACTTAAACACACAGAAGAGTGATTGGAAAGATATGAATAAATTACCTACCTGATAAGATGGCACTGAAGGATACGGAACAATCACACCTTGAATTTGATTCCCAACATTGTTGTGTTGGCCACTGACTAGATTTTGATTCTGAGACTGCTGGACTCCAACTAAACCCTGGTAGTTTTGCTGCTGGTTAGGCAAAACCTGGTAACCTGAAATTATAAATTTAAATCTTATTTTGAAATAATGAACACATTTTATACACAGTTGCCTATGTGAAAAAATATGTGTAGTGTATTCCCATGGCTTTTAAAATCCATCAACTTCGTAAGAGTTGAACTTACCATGCATTTAAAAAGAAACCAACATTAAAATTAACAGTTTTATTCCTTTGGATCCAGCATGAAATACTATACACACTATTTGCAATGGTGCTCTCACATGCTTGCAGTATTTATTTACAATCTAGGTGATTTACATGCATTAACACCTTGATTTGATGGGTAAAAGCTGAAAGCATTTGAACAAAGCATGCTAGATAGTATCAAAACCAATTAATTGCCCATTGTTATGAACAAGGCCATTCTAAGTTCTTTAGTTTAGAAATTCTATTTATGCTAAATGCTACTAGGAAGTATCTCAGGTGCCCTAGGGATAAAAGCATCTTGACTATGATTGAAAACTGAATCACACTTACAGAAAATTTGTGTAAATCATGTGTGCAAATCTTTTCTAAAAGGGCAATTTCTACTGAAATCTGTAATGCTAAGAACAAATGGGAACTGAGAAAAATCTTCCAGCTAAAAAAACTATGTACTTATGCAAGGGAAGACATTTTATATTCAAAGATATCTTGAGAAAAACAGAGAAAGATTTTCATATTCACCCTTCTACAGTGCCTCTAAAACACTTTATTATTGCTTTAAGTGGTATTGTCTGTTCTGTCAAAGATGAACTAAAATACCCCAAAACTGGAGCATTTATTAGGTCCAACATTAATTCCAGCTCTTTTTTTCATTTGTTCGGTTGTTTTTTAAAAACATATAGTAGGTAACTGCTACCACAATCAACACACATGCACAACACAAGTAAAGTTCTTTTTGTCATGTTCTGTTATACAGGTATATGCTACTTACCACACCAGCAAAAAACCCCTAACTATCAGTGTTTCTGAGACAAAGCCAGTTATCACTCCACAATAACAAAACTGGGCTTGTCAACATGCACTGACAGCAAGAAGAGTCTGCATTTTACTTGGACACACATTTGCATTCTACTGACCTTGACATTCCCCATGCTGCCTACCTTGGTATGGAACTATAACAAAGCAAATACAGCTACAAAACTCACTTTTTTTTTTAAACTGTGTTTAAAAATTGTGTTATTCTGAAAATAATTAGTTAACACAAAACACCTTTTAAAAACAAACCCCGCCAATGTTCATAGATTACCTACATACAGGATATAAGGAACATGGTGAATTAAATCTTAGCTGTCTCTATAGAAATAGCAACAATGAAGACTAAAAAATACAATATAATCAAATATTGCTTCAGAAAATTAAAGGGAAGAAGCTTCAGTTAGTTAAAGTGAAGAGAGTTATTAATTAGAAACACTACAGGTATTTCATAGTAGTATACAAAACTTCAGAACAATGCATTCTTGAATCAGAATTAGTAATGAAGAGTTTTCGATAACTCAAGTTCGAACTGTGCACAAAAATCCATTTCATATCTGTAATCAGCAAAGTGCTTAAATGTGATTTGTTACAAAATGACATATGGCATGTAAAAAGCAGCAGAATGAGAAGTTTCAGCATAGGACGGATACAATCAATACACCGGCAATCTAAATCCCTAATTTCCCAGAAATCGCAATGTGGCTGTACTTTTCAGCTTTTTCTGGCACTTCTAGAGGCAGACGTAATCCATTTTGCAAGCAGAGAGAACTGGAACAACATAAATTGACTGCCAAGAAGGTTCCCCACGGTGCTACAAAGAATGCTCTATTTTTAGCCTCACAATTTCACCTCTGCATAGAGAGTGGTCTGACAGAAATGCAGCACTCAGCAGAAAACCCACACCTGCCATAGCAGAGTCTCATTAGCCAGAAACACTCTGAAACAGTAGATAAAAAAGCATGTTTCTTAATATTTACATAATTAGAAAGAAATCACTGTTAATGTACAGAAATACATTTTCTGAGTAACACATTACAACTGAGAAACAGCCTTTATTCAAGAACAGAAAGGAAGTACCATCACTTGGTTAACAAGCTATGAATATAGCTTGATTACAAGTACTACAACTATTACTACAAGTGTATTAGTTTGATCACTGGTGAAGCAGAAGCTAGATGAACATCAGCTGTTGTTCCTACAGTCACTGTAGTTAAGATTTTTAACCAACCTTTTGTTAGGCCTCATGGTAACTGGGCCCTCATTATCATGTCAATGGGAAACACCTTGTTCTTAAATAGTTTTCTTCTCCCAACATCTTTTGGACAACCAAAGTGTTCCTATCAAAAGTGAAGGCCCCCAATTATTTCACATGAAACTCCTTTAAAAAGGAAGCCAAGAAGCAGCTGAAAAAGAGACCGGTTCACTGTGAGAAATGTAGACCTCTCAGACAGTGTTACGGCCCCGAATCCAACAGCTCATCAATACAGTCAGGCCATTCCATAACATTAAACCGAAAGTGGCTTCTGTTGCCAAGTTTTCGGAAGCAGTCATCTTTTATCTAAATTTGTGTTTGGAAAGTTATTTCATAGTTAGTAACCACTATAAAATAAAGCCCATAACTTTTATGTCATACAGGACTTGTTAATTCTTTTTTTTTTTGACCAGACATGCTGCTAATCTTCGCCAAGTAACATGCTGCCTTTTGTCTCAAAAACAGCCATCACTAATAAGCATCAACAGTTCTGGATGCAGCTTTGTGTCAACACTGACATTCAAGGCTTAAGATACATCTAAAAGAGAGAGAATTTCAAAATACACCACCTCACAAGCAGTTAACAGAACAGAAAACGTAACATGGAACCTTCCATTTCTAGAATACTGATTCAAATTTCCATATAAAGCAGTAAATGAGAGCTAGCCATGGCTAGGTACCAATTTCCAGATTTTGAGTTAAACACTAATTATACAGTTGCTAGTGAAAGACATCCCTCTACCATTAGTGCTACAATGTATCAAGAACTAAACAGAACTGAATGGACTATTGGCTGGAGCACTCCTTCACTACTTAAATATGATCTCTTGATGTCCAGGTTACAGGTACAAGGTACATTAACAAAATAGTAAAGAAGCTGTCTGCACAGCTTTGTTATCTTATTTCTCCCAGGACACAGAGGGAGATTTTAGCTGCTGATGCTTTTCACTTTGTCCACATTACAGGCAGTGAAATTCAGTTGAAATGTAAAGAGCTAAAAACAAAGAAACTTACTTACCATATAGCAACATTCCTCTCCTTGCATCTTGGTGCTGCTGCACCATCACCCCATGCTTTCAAATTCAGCTTGTTTTGTTTAGCTAGGTATATATACTGGCACTCTTCCATTTGGATTTTGTGTGCTATTCACATTGGGAGTCCCCTTAAATGGAGAAGCAATCCCAGTTGAGCCTCAGACTTTTTTTGCTATTAAGTAGTCTGGGTATTAAAACTTCCGAGGAAGAAAAGCAGGTTGTGTAATACAGTTGGATAACACATTTTTAACACTAGTGGATAAAGCAAGTTGCTAAAATGAGTATTTTGTTTTCCTCTGAAAAAAATGTCAATATACTTTCACTTCTGAAGAGTGAAAGGTGGTGATCTATTTTGCAGTAGGCAGGTAACTAACAGCATTTTTAAATTATCTGACAACCCTACCACAAGTGGGCACCACATCTTGATTCTGCAATGGAACAATCCCAGGTAAATTTGTGAACTGAACCCTGAATAACAACTTCAAGTGTTGCTGCTGGAGCAATTCCTAGAAGGACTGCAGAAGAGAGCCAATTCTCTTACAGACTACTTCACAAAATAGCTAAAAAGAACTCCTCTTGATATTTGTAAAAGCTGATATTTTTTCCTATTTCTGTAGAGCAAAACATAGGTGGGGGCAGGGGGAGGAATAAAAAAAAAAGATCAAACCTTCTTCCTGAAGGAAACTCAAAAGGATACTAAGCCTAACGAACTTAACTAAGATATGGTATAAAAGCCTGTTTTTTAAAGTTTTCTGCCTCCAAACATCACAGGTTACTTCTGAAAATTTTGACTAAGGTACTACTTAGAAGTAAATTTGTTCCAGGAATCCAAATCTTACTGAAGAATTCATAATAATACTTTTAAGTACAGATTATCAAAGTGATGGTAGCTCCAGCTACAATTTGTAAGGAATAAAAAAGACAACAGGAATGAAAGGAGGCAGAAATACAGCTTGTTAGCATTCACACAGAGGTAACTCAGAAACAGTAGAGAAGTTTTTAGTAAAAACAGGAGCAGAACACTGATTCTAACCACATAAATCTCATTATATATTCAACACCCAGATACCTTTTAATCATAGGAAAGAAAGACAAAACAGTACCACCAGTGTCATCTGCATAGCAGTCTTTTCATGTCACTACATCTCAGATTAGTATCTTTTGTTTAGAACTTTCAGTTACAGTACATCTCTGCAATGTTTACATCATTTATAGGTACTAATTCATCTTACTTTGCAAGTTGCTAAACAGCAAATAAGCTACAAGTTTTTAAATTACTCACTTCTAAATAAAAAAAATCCTGTAAGTAAAAATTACAGAGTGAGCCACTCATAGTAATGGCTTAGATCTTCATGACAATTGACTCAAATTCTTTCACCTTAACTAAGTTACACTTTGGATCCCATATCCCCTATGTCACTTGAAATTATACAGCAAAATAAGTTTCAAAAACAAACCCAGGAGAAAACACATGGAGGTGTTCTAATGAAATGCTGAAAAGGTTGAACAAACCTGTCTGCTGCCCAGGCTGTGCCAAAGGTTGGTTTTGCTGCGTGTTGTAATGGACAGAAACAGGTCGGTACTGTGGACTGGAGTGCGGGTACTGACTGGGGCTACAGTAACAAGCTGGCATCTGAAAACAAACAACTGAAAAGATTCACTACCAGCAAGTTTGTAGAAGGCAGACATCTAAATGCTTAGAGAACCACATGGTAAAAGATAACTTATTACAAGGATGCAACTAATATTAAATGGTTTAGCAATTAAAAAAAAACTTATACTACATAAATTTCCTCTTTAACAACTGATTTCTTCTACTTTGACTGTAGAAGTAATTAATTCTCAATTTCTACAAATAAACATTTGAGACACTAGAACAGTATGAGGAATATGAGTTTTACCAGCTACAGGTAAATATAAAAACTTGTGTGATTACTGCACCTGAAGTAAATGGAAGTAATTAATTCCAAAGCATGTAAGCCAGAAAAAAATAACCAACCCTAAAAAAATGCAATTTATTAACTACTTAAAGCAGCAATTTAACAGGGAGGTCCACAGCATAAAAAAAGCTAATAAACAGAACAGCACGATCAGTTTTTAAATACAACTTTTGGGAGGATGAAAACAGAGCCATTGTACCTGTGGCACAGGTTGCTGCATATATCCCTGCTGCTGGAGTACTTGCTGGTTGCCAGGATGGCTAGATGGTGAGTAGCCTGGGGCAGAAACTGGTTGGCCAGAGGGTGGTGGAGGTGCAGCAGCTGTGATGATATAACCAGGCTGCTGTGGGGGCTGAAGGACTACAGTGGACTGGAACATAGCAGCGTGAGGTTCAGTGGGGTCAGCAGGGGGCTGGCGGGCAAGACTCATATGGCTAAATTGTGATCCTAGGTTGTCTTGCTGTAATAGTTAAAAAAGGAAAAATCACATTCACAAATGCACATTCAAGGAAAAAAAAATAGACAAATATCTCAGTAAGTTTCAGATATGCATTTCTCAAATTACTGTGTATTAGCAACATCAGCCAAAGAACAATAGGAAAGAACAAGATGGAGCACAGTAGTAAATTATCTTCAAAGCCGACAGCAGGAGAGAGCGTTCAGAGACCACTCATTTCACTGCAAACATTCCAGTTTTGGATTAAGTCTGCCTCTACCTGTTTACAGTAAAAGATTTAAACTATCAAAAATAAACTCTGAATTTGTGCCACTAACATTTTCTGATTGGACTTCAAAGCCTGAATGAAAACATCTACCCCAGTTAAAAGAACAGAAGGCATTAGTATTGCTAAAGTAATTTTTTAAGAGCTTAGATTAATGAGGCTCTAGTGCTGTACTGTAATTCCGTTAACTTGGTATTATACTACATGTATGTATGTTACTTGATACCAAGCTAAAAACATTAATGGCTGCAAAACATTTATTCTAGTGGTTACTTACTGTCTATTTTTATTAACATCTGAAACTCTGATACTGGTTGCCCTGAGCACTGCAGGATTCCTAAGAAATCTGAAGCTCCTATTACTTCTTACTTTTTTTTTTTCCCCACAAGCAATTCAGCATCAAATTGTCAACATCTTGGAAATTAGAAGTGATCACTAGTACCGTATCTTTTTGCTAAACAGGAAGATTTGGTTTACTTTTCAAAAGTGGACTCTCCAAACATGGAGGAATGTTAAAAAGATTTGAAGACCATCTTAGATCATCCTGAAGAAGACAGAATTAATGAAGAAAAAGTGCAATCTGTCTTTTATCAATTAGATGATGTGTTCACGTTTTTTTATGACATTTTGTATTTCCCAGGCTTAAAGGTGTTCTTAATACCACTGGAAATACAAATTGATTAATATGAACTTTATTTAATATACCTTTACATCTTAAAAAGCCCTATTTTCATTAGATGAACAATCTAACTTCACCTTTGGCCTCTCCTTCTGTAAAGTTGCCTATTAAAGCAGATAGAATGCTTTTCTACACATTTAACATTATGTTTTTCATAATACCTAGTTTAGAGAGGAGATACTGATGTTTAGTTATGAGTTAATATTACCACTAAAAAAGTCCAAGGAATACACATTTTTTTCTGTTACACTCCCAATGTGAGTCAATGCTGATTGGGTCAGTTTGTCCTACAATGATATGTACAGTACAAGCATGATTAACAACTGAAACAGGGTATTACCAGTGAACAGATAAAGCAAACTTTCTTGGTACCAACTACAGATGTCATGCATTTAGTTTTCACTGTGTTACCTAAGTTACCATCAACAGGAATAAACTTTTGCAACTGCTAGCACACTTAGTATTTCAACCCATTTCCTGAAGGTGAAATGCTTTGAAATTATTATGAATCTGGAAAGTTTTATTCTCTGCTTTAACAACCACGTGCCTAACAGTGACTGTGAATTCCAGCAGACACCCAAGCTAGCAGCTACTAACAGCAGTTCAGTCACATGCTAAACTCACATAGGAAGCTCACATTGGTTAATTAACCATTCTTATTTCATTATGAAGGAGGTAAGTTGTACTGATCACAGTTCACATGTATTCAAACGCTCTAAAGTAACAGAAGACAGAACATTGCTAACAACAAAACACCCTCCATAAAGTGCAATTCCTTTTAGAATTGTACACCTTAAGTACAGGTAACAATTACAATATAGTTTTAATTATATGCAGGCTACTGAATTCAGCTAAAACTGTATCTATTATTATTAGAAGACACTTATGATTCATGTTGAAAACAGTAACCAAATAATTCTGAAAACACTAAAATAGCTACTGTGTAGCACTGTGGTGGGTTGGCCCTGGCTCATAGGTGCCCACCCAAGCTGCTCTGTAACTTTCTTATCCTTAACAATGCAGCAGGAGAAAACAAGATGAGGAGCTCTTGAAAAGTAGGGGGAGATGGCTCATCAATTAACAACACAAGCAAAACAGACCTGACTTGGGGAAGATTAGTTTATTTCTGATTAATAAAATAGCAGGATGAGAAATAAAAAGCAAAACTAGCTTCCCTCAGGCCCCTCACTTCTTCTGAGGCTAAACTTGACTCACCCCTCCCCCAGGTGTCACAGGAGGATGGGGAATTGGGGTTGTGATTGGCTCATAACACTTCATCTCTGCTGCTCCTTCCTCCTCACACTCTTCCCTGCCCCAGCATAGGGTCCCATCCACAGAATATAGTCTTTCCTAGAATCACAGAATGGTTTGGGTTGGAAGGGACTTTAAAGATCATGTAACTCCAACCACCCTGCTGTGGACAGGGACAACTCCCACTGGACCAGACTGCTCAAAGCTTAATCTAACCTGGCAGCAAACACTTCCAGGGATGGGTAATCTACAACTTCCTTGGGCAACCTGTGCCAGTTTCATGAACTTCTTTAACCCAAGTCCTTCCCACAGACTACCGTTCTTCACAAACTGCTTCAGCATGGGTCCTGCTAATTTCTCAGACTGATGACTCAGCATTGGGTAGCACAGGGTTAGTCTTGAAGCCACCTGAAATTGGCTTTGTCTGACTCAGGGACAACTCCTAGTCTCTTGTCACAGAAGCCACCCCTGCAGCCTCCCCTGCTACCAAAGCCTTGCCACATAAATCCAATGTAAACATGGACTCATTGGATTATGAAAGCAGCACGGGGAGTTGGCATGCCTCTATTTTTGACAAGGTCTCTAGCTTGGATTCTGCCTTAGATAACTCTTCTCCTTTAACTAGGTTTCAGTTCCAGTTTGTATGAGCTTTTTTTTTTTTAATTTGTTTTGGTTTTTACACACTAAAGACTAAGAAATGTAATTTACAGCTTCTGTTTATTAAACAGGGGATGCTAGCGAAGTGTTAAGGAGTTCTGGAAAAGAGACTAGAAAAAGGTAACCTTAAAAAGCCAGAATAAGCTGATCCCTCAAAATATATTAGAGGGTTCAGCAAGAGGAGCAGACAGAAAGAAACAACAAGAAAGAATGGAATGAGGTTAATCCAGAGACATCAAAAGATTCTGAGTGGCTAACAAAACAATTAGCATTGAAAAGCTTTCAAATGGTACTGACTGGCTAACAAAACAATTAACATTGAAAAGCTTTTCCTTTGCAAAAGGAAATAATATATATCTAAATATAGATATAGCCATAATTGTACACATTTTTGCTGAACTTGAAATAAACATGTTAAAAACTCAGGAACTCTTTTTCCCCACTCAGGTAATATTTTACTGTGATTGAGAAGCTAGCCAGTCATTACACTGCTATCACACACTGCTTACAAATAACCAAAGGTCAGCATCCACTAAAGATTAACCCACACAGAGAGGAGATGAACAGAAGATATAATACCACAGAATATTGCTGTGTGGAGGAGACTGGCAGGAGCGGGGGTGGATAAGAGACTGCAGAGTACTGAACAGGCTGGGAAGAAGGCTGCAGAGGCCGCATAGGCTGAAGAAATAACAGGTTTATAAACATGGTTAACATCAGAGTAAGAGAAGCGAAAACAAAGTCTTTTGTAATAGAAAAAAAGCAACTATGCTCCATTACCAGAAAGGGGGTGGACACTTCTTTTTAAGCTCAAGACTGCATAGAATTAAAACTATTTTCAATACCTCAGTCTCACAGCAGAAATACATAATATTAGCTGTAAGTCAGCAAACTGCTTCTATTTAACATTGACTGTTTCTTTTAGAGATTTTTTTTTTAAATAATAAAATAAAAACTACCATGTGCTCTAAATACAAGTTGTTTCAAAGCATTACATTTCAAACACATTACTTTCACTTATTCAACAATAGTAATTTTTTTTTTTCTAAATTGTGGTTATTTAAACATCAGAGAGGTATTGTTGTTAATATTTTTGGGCAGGTTCAACTCCAGTATCCACTGAGAAGGCAATCATATAAGTAGTAAAGAATTTAAGAACACTGCAAATAACAACATGAGATAGGGAAAAAAAGTACAACTGAGCCTTTTCCATAACAGACCATTTCTACTGTGGCATACTCAGGTATCATGAACAGAAGATTTAACCAGGGAAAATTAACAAGATAAAGGTTTAGATGAAGTTCTATAAATAACTTTTTGATAAAATTGGAGAATTTGATTATAATACAGGAGAACATGGTAGCTTGGTGCCTGAAATATCTTATGTGAAAAGAGGTAGAACCCTCCCTTCCCCTGACCATACATGCTCTTAGCTTTTATCTTCTTCTTCAAGGGCTGAGGTAATCTTTAATCTGACCTATTTTATTAAATTCCTCTTGTACAAGACAAGGATAAAATACTTCAGTGTGCAGTTTTATGAGTAAGACAAAGTACTACTAAAGAGGCATTCATACTCTACAGTCCTAAGCTACCTCTTTTGTGCCACAAGTACTGCTTGTGCAGTACAGCCCAAGAATTCACTTGACTGAAAAATAACCTTAAGACAAGGAGACAAACATTTCAGCCAGATGAACTCTTTCCAGATTGCTGACTATATTACTGTTAATGCCAGGGGTAACCACACAGTGTCACTAGGGATGAAGGCAGAGCCTCCTCTCTCTATCTAGGCTTGGTACGTTCTTGATATGGAATGTTTTCACACTAAAGTAACTTCTATATATTTAATAAAAGGCTGCCTACCATGTTCAGTCATTAGCAGAACGGATAGCTCTGAGGACTGGGAGGGGTGGGAAGTCCAGTTAACCCCACCTGTAGCTATCACTTCTTAATCTATGCTTCAGCAGAACAAACCTGACGATCCCTTGTTATGAGACAGCAAGGACAGGATCAGTCATCAACACAAGCATCATGTATTTGACCTGTGCACCTGTGAGAGGATGTGATTAGCTGCTGTCTGCTGCTGAGGGTGGGCAGGAAGAGGTGGCTGTTGCGGAGGTCCAGGCACTTGGGTCCTAACAGGTTGCTGAGGCATAGGAGGATTGTACACAACTGGAGTGCCATCGGGGTTAAGGAATGGCTGACCTGCAAAGGTGAAAGAACAAACACAACCACATGACCACCAGCTACTTCATCTAAATTTTGAGAAAACAAAGACAAAAGTATTTACAATAGGCCAAACAAATAAATAATATTTGAAAATACATTGTCATACTGTTTTATATGAAAGATTTATGCCAAATCCCCATGACATTTATAATAGCAATGATTTAAAAAGCCTCATTTGACAAACTATGTGCAGTTAAAAATCAAAACATTTAAGGTAAACAAAGATACCCCAGTCTTCACTTAGTGAACAGAAATATTTTTTCATATCCTGCTTGTCTTATTTTGAATTAAGTGGATTGAAAAGGGAGGGCTAATAAAGGAAAACGCTATGAAAAAAACACTATTTCAAGGACCTTTAAAAAGATAATTAGTCTCCTTTAATCGGTCTGAACACCAGTGAGAACACAGAAGAGCCTAAAAGCAAGTATTTTAAGATATATATCTGTAAAGCAGCAGCTGCAATGGTACTGCCATAACCACTAATGAGATTACTCTTAAAGGAGTCTCTTCCCCTATTCGTAGATTAATTAGCTTTTAGCTTTCAAAATAAATAATGTAGTGTAAATTTCCTATTTAGTACTTTGCAACTTCAATATTACAGTAGTGAACTAATTAAAAAAATCAACTACTTAAAGGAAAATTATGAACAGTGATCTATTTTGATGCTTGGGTTGGGAAAAAAGCAAATAAGAGAAGCAGATTAGCTAGCAAGGACTTATGTCTAGCTGCTTAATGACAAGTGGCTTGCATTGCCTTGTTTTGATGCTTAAGATCCAAATTCTGATGTAAATTTTTCTCTCCTCTGATTTAAATGTTTTTTTTTGCCTAGGAATCTTTCCAGAAAGGTATGAACTGCAACTAAAACCTTTGCACCCTGGCCAGGGTCCTGTCAAAGTAGACTAAAGCTCCTTCAGACTTCATTGCATCATATTTAAGTGCAACTGGCTAACATAAAAGTGTAAAAGTTACTGGAGAGAGGACTAAGGCATTTAATGCAAGATAGAGACAGGGTGCATTAAGAGACTTGGAAAAATAAGCTACATGCTATGCAGCTGGACTGCAGGTGATCAAGCTATATTCAGATTAGTTTAACAGATTTCTCTTTAATGGTTAAGAATTAGGAAAGTTCACATAAATATGGAGTAATTTCTACCACTTTCTGGTAATCACAGGAGCTTAACTTGTGTCCTGTAGTAGCTGAATAAGAATTGTCTTTTCCCAATTACCTTCTTCAAATACTAAGAAGGGCTCTGTTGACCTAGGGTCACAAGATGATCTGTCAGAAAGGCTGAGAAACTATTCTGTGGTTTATAAACTCTGTCATTTGGAATAACAAACCCAGATGAACAATTACAGAATATGATGATTTGAGTACATAGAAAGTCTAAAGTTTATCTGAACTTGGATACTGCATGTTCTGGAAGTGTACTTTATTTTCTATTAGATACTAAAATAATTTTATTTTATGAAAGATGATTAATGACTGGTGTAAATGCATTAAAAATGGATAAAATGTAGGAAGAATCACAGTTTGAAAATCGAGCTAATTTTCAGGAATGTCAGGTAATCTATAAGTCTGCTGCCTTTTCTGAGGGGGGTGCAAGTACAAGATGCTTTCAGGTGAAAAATTTTCACAATCACATTTATTTCTCTGCCCTTCCCTGTTGATGTGTCAATTTCCCATCAATGTAACAAGGAAAATGACCAACACTACAGAAGGAAGAAAGTGAATTTAAGTCACATGCAAAAAGTCACAGGAAAAAACCCAAACTTTAAAGTGAAATAATAATCTTTTGAAAATCATTATATTTTAATGTGTTACATAAAAGATAAATTAATATTTTCAGAATTTCTAAACTTCTAAAGTTTGCTCAGTGAAGGCTAACTAGTTATTTAATCCAGAGAAGCAGTTATACATCTCCTTACATCTGTTATGAAGTGTTAATTTCCTACTATTTACTAAAAATATCAGTTTTGGCCAATTACACCAATTTCTATTTAATCCTGTATTAACCTGAAAAGCAAATTAGAAGTAGCATGTAATCTCATGCCAGTTTCTTCCACTTGCATGGAGTCAGTGTCATGAGCACAGAGACACAAGAATATATTGCGACAAAAAAAATGAAGGATGATAAATTCTTTCAAGTCAATATGAACACTTCTTCAGGCTCCCACCCCTCACTGAATCTGTTTATAGTACCACTAGGAAAGACCTCTCCCAAAAAAAGCAGAAAGTTAATTTAAGTTACTCTACGTTCTGGATAATAAATCATAGGATTTTCATATTCTGTGCAAGTCACGCATTAAAATCTTACATGCAAGTTAAAACTCTACTAGATAAAATCAAGTTCACTTATTCCTTTGATCCTAGAGTCATGCTCTCTTTCTAAATTAAGTGCACTGAACAAACACAACCACAGAAAAAAAAAAAAAGGCAATACTGACATTCAGTCTTATGTAAACAGTCGTGCATTTTTCTCCAAGTTCTCAATTGTAATAAAAACATCCAGAAGCGTGTACCAACCTGTTTGAGGGTTGATCAGCACACTGCCAGGCGGTATGCCTGCCGCTTCCAAGGGAAGCAAAAAGAAGCTAGTGCTAGTAGGTGCCACTTGCCCACTTATGCCACCATCAAAGGAAAGAGAGTTACTAGTGCTGACGGTTGGATAGACGGCAGATGTGCCATGAGAAGGCTGGCTTAGAGCTGGCACTGGAAGAGGCTGCTGGGTGTGAGAAAGAGAACCCGTGGATGACCCTACACTACTAGAAGACTCTGAACCTAGGAAAGGAGTAATGAGAAATTGTTTTTACCTAGAGACAGAAACATCATGCTCACTTAAAATACATAATTGTAAACACTTACCCTTAAAGCTCAGCATTAAGTACATTATTAAACAGCGGCCCTTTCAATGAACTCCCCCCCTTATCTCCCCTGGAATACCATTACAAGATTCCTTCTGTGAACCAAGGGTCAATTCAGCACTGCTTTGCAATGTAAAGTGAGGCTTTCATATCCAGCTCTGATTTTCTGGGTAGAACATACATGCCTGGGCGTATGCACATGTTAATGTTCAGTTCATCTGCAACTCATTTAAGTGCTTGGTCACTTATTCCAAAACAATGCAGGGACACATATGGACGGGATACATGGAAACCATGCACACACAGCCTACAGCTGCTGTACAGGTGGGCCATAGTGTGGCATGGATGCAGGGAGCATCCCAGCTAAACTCATATGCTCTGGAGACAGCCTGTGTGCAGCAATGACCATTTTCATTTTACTACCAGATGTCAGAGATCTCTCCTGACTCACCTGCTAGACAAATGGCTGAATGCTAAAAATGCACGACCTATTTTTTTCCTCCTCTGAACAATTTCCAGACTGAAATCAAGAATACAGCTGGAAAAAATGACAGTAATACAGTAGCCTTAGCCTACAACTCAAAGTTCTAAAAGAGTATGAAATAGCTGATTGACAGCAATAATCATTTTACAGATATGAATGACTATAAACATTGCAAGGCAGTGGAGAACCAGACCCTGAGCTTTCTGAAAGCCAATGCATGCAGCTAAAAGCAATATTCCAAAAGTCCAATATTGATAGAGGTCTGCAGAACCACGCTGTTCCTACATTTGTTTGTCATGCTTTTTAAGACTTTGCTATGATACTTGCAGTACTTGGAAATAGCATATAGTTGTTTAAATTTAAGAATACTTCATTAGCAGCCTCTATACAATCTAGAAGAGAAAGCAAAGCTCAAAAAGGGCTATGACAAACTGATGTACCGTTTGAAGTTACTTTGCAGTCCTTCATAGGAATTTTTAATTGCAGCCTTTTCACCTGTGTTTATGATAAAGGTGGTACAGCTGGAAGCACTTGCTGATGCTGACTATTAACCTTTTTTCTATTGCTAGACGAAGTGGAATACAAAGCAATTACTTATAAACTGGGCAAAACAACATATCCCAGCTCTGTGTAACAGTCTTCACCTGACTAGAGTTACTTTGATTAGATTTGTTTACAAGTGTATCCACTTCTAGATTATGTAGAGAAATTACACTGAAGCCATTATAATTAAAGCCAATTACATCCTTGATCAAAACAAACAGAACCAATCTCGATACACACAAAATCACCACAACCTGTAACTGCAGCAAAGCAACAACCATCAAGACAGGCATTCTAAACATTCAATGTCAGCTCTCAGAATGCCAAAATAAAGTCTCCCAACAAAATTTTAAGAATCCATTTATGTTCTTGCAATTTATAAAACAGTTCTAAGAATGTGTTTTATGTATGTAAACTGTTGTCAAGTTGTAGTTTCTTTTCAAGCTGTGCCAAACAGTATTACCAGTGTTAAATTAAATAATATGATGGCCTAATTTTACAGCATGTACCTTGGCATGTTTGGTTTTTTTGATACAATGGACAAACAGAATTTGTAACTAGTTCACTGCATCAAGATATAGAAGTGTGGTGATACACCCATAAAATAGTGGTAGTTTAAGGGATCACCAAAAAATTTCAACACATCCTCATGAGAAACAAGTTTTATAAATAACATTAAAGCCAAGCTTAATACAGGCAAGTAGTTACATTTTACTTTTTAAGTTCTACTTGAAATTTTGAAGTAGTGCATCCATGCCCACCCATATATCACATGCCTCACAGTTCTCCAATCAACATTATCTATTGGATCAAATTACGCTGGCATTTGGAACAAAAATATTTACTAAATTGCATTTGTGAGCATAGGAGATTTATATCCATATTTTCCAAGATTTGGTTTTGATATTAATTACAAGTTAACACTCCTTTGAAACCCAGACTCTTATGAGTATTTTCCCCAGCATTTCTGAAACAGTACTTTGTTCCATTGATCTGATTTTCTGCATTCTAAAAGTTAAGTAAGCTTTTTAGCAATATTAGTTTAAATTTAACAGTGGCACTATAAATATAACAATTTATAGACTTGAACACTTTTTTCCCAGCTAGTAGGACAGCAGTGCCCAATGCAGCTTTGCACACTGAAACTCAAGTTAAACTCTGCATTTTAAAATTCTGAATTAAGTACTTATGTTAATGTTTTCAAATCCTTTGTATGAAAGGAAATGCATTTAGCTTAAAGCCATCTATAATGCACTTTTAAAGTCTACTTCCAAAGTCAAGAGGCTTCATTTAATTTGAGTTCTAGCCTGTCAAGGCAGTTGCACACTGGAGGGCAAGGTCTGCAGTCACTGTGCAGCACCCAGAGGCAGCTGCATGCAGGGAGCACCTCTGCATATGTACACAGCACACACCAAGTGTCAACCCATCAGGTACTTCACTCCTATGTAACCATGTACTTATACAGATTTTTATTATACCTGTCTTAGACAGCCTGCCTGTGCTTTTGCTGCTTCCAGAGCTATCTCCTCTTGTCAGAACTGATATCCCACTGAAGCTGCTGGCTTTGGTTACAGCTGGCTTCAGGTTGCGGAGGGAGCTGTCGGAGTCAGTGCTGCTCCAGGGACGGGGCTCACAATACTTCACCTCATTCTCAGTACTGCTCTGATGGCTGTTGGCAGATCTCCCTGATGCTTCCTTATTGATTCTGTAAGTTATAAACTCAACTTTTAGCACAAGCATCAATTGCAAAATGAGAAAAGAAGAAAAAGGTGAAATTCATGCAGGAATACTTTGGGATTTTAATTTTTTTTTTTAAAGAAAGTATCAAATACCTAAGTATCTGTCGTCTTTGTTGTGTACTATTAGTTTCTTCCTCCTGGATTCTGTTGATATTTTAATAAGATAGCTTAATATTTATCAAAAAAATAGAAAAATTAAACAGAATGAAACTACAAATTTTCTTACCTTTTATCAGTGAAATAATTCTCTTGAGGACACAGGGACTGAGGGGCAGAAAAGTGTAGAAATTAATATAAATGGCATGTAGAAGCCCTGCTACAGCACAGTAACAAAATGTGTTGCAATTTGGAGTCTTTTGTATTATATATGGATTTTTACAGCAACCTTTTTATATTAAGTGGCATGAAAACCTCTTTGGTGGATAATTTTGATGTTATGTGATAAAAAAGGACAACATAAAAAGGCCCATCTGCAAGAAATAGAAGTTAGCATTAGAATAGTTGTAGTGCTGACCATTTCATTTATAGCAGTGTTTCTGAAGTTACAGTTCTTCCAGCTGATGTGTGACTTCCCAAGTCTGTTACCACCACCTGAGTTGCCTTGTCTTCTGCTTGAATGCGTGAAGTAGATGACAATACTGACTACTGCAATAATTGCCTTGAATTCTTTGGGTACAAGTACATACATGCTAAAGAGCAGACAGAATATATAATCAAAAGAGCTATTATTAACTTCAATTATTATTCACTTCAATCCTTGGCTGTGACTTTCAACATTTGGTACAAAGCTTCTAAGGGTACAACACAAGGTAAGTGAGTATGCAAAAGGAAAAGGTAATTTTATATCCAAAACTCATTCTGTGTGTTCATAACTAAGATGAACAAAAAAAGTGCCTCTTGGAAAATATTTGGACATAGCAAATTAGCCTCTTAGAGGTCATCACTCTTTCTTCAGAACAAGAATCTGGTTTTGGATGTGTAAAAGCTACATATAGATATCTGAAAAAGGAGGTTATTTGAAGTAACACATTTTTGAAGACGTGTTCTGTTTCGCTCAATATAATTACATATAATCACTACTTGTGACTGAGTTGAAATTTACAGTATTGCTCTCCTTGATCAGTCCAGTCAAGAGAGACTAGACTTCTAGGTTTCTGACTGAAATTTCATATAGGTGAATCCAAATAATTTTATTGTCACTAGTAGTAAGATGTGTTTGATACAGACATAAGTGAGAAAAAGACGTTTTGTTTGGGGTTTTTTGTTTGTTCATTAAATAATCACTGCTCTGAGTAACAGCTGCAATGATTACAGTGCCAAAGCTCTGTAAGTTATATTTCCATAAGGGGCAAAATAATGCATTGAAATAGGTAATGCTGGATAATGCACCAAAATAATTCTAGAAGGGTGCTTGAGTATCATACAGTAGTGATTGGAGAAAACAGAACGTGTATTGGGAACTTCATTATCATCTAAAACTCACTCAGAACACACGAAGGACTCCTGACTCCTCAGCCCCCTTCAGATACTTATTTCCAAGAAACTTTCTGTATCTTTTAAGAAAAGTATGAAGTGTGAAGTATTGATACAAAGCACTATAAGATTTTCTTTGATACATACATCTTGTGCAAATATTCTCTCTCTAGCTCTCTGATATTCCTCTTCACGTTCTTCTATGGATTTACTTCTTCTGTCATCTTTTAATCGCATTCTCATCTAAATTAAGTGATACAGCGTCAATTTCTAGAGGAAAATAGTATAAAAACACAGTCAAATAGAGCAAGTGGGAGGAAATAGCCCAGATGCATTTACCTGGTTGTCATCTTTGTCTAAACTAGAGTTATCTCTTTTAAGGATGTACCGCTTCTGGAAGTCGTCACTCTTCTCATCCTTTATGTGTTCACAAAACTTTTGGTCAGGTCTGTGAAAAGTTGTTAGAAAGAAAAGATTGATGGCTTTGTAAACATATACTAAGCACAGTGGAACAAACTGAAATATACTAGAGATTAATGTTTGATATACTTAATATTCTAACTGTAGTGATAGATTTTGGTTGTCCAGGCAATGGAAAAGGTACCAAAACCATAAGATGATGCATGCCCCTGACAAGTCCTGTTCCTGAGACTAAGCAAACCTGCTTTTAAAATCTCTTCCTCCTTCAAAGTTTTTGCTTCAATTTCCAATTAAGCTGGCAAGCAAACCATATGCCCTTGGGCAATCAGAAGTGCTCTTCAATCCAAACTGGTGCCATGCAATGGATATTGGGCATGCATGGAAGTGAAGAGAGGTGCTTTCTGCTAGAGCTGTAATACCTCAGAACTCATTTCAAGGGAAACAGAAGATAAGAAGATAGAGAAGAAAGCATTGGAACTTACAAAATTCTAAAACAAACTTGAGTAGAAATAAGCAAGAGAAGAACAATACAATGCAGGCAAGCAAGAGCTTCATAAGATCACAGTGAGAGGATGAAGCAAGAGTTTATATATATTGTTTTGATATTTTACCTGCTTTCTAAAAGAAAGTGAATTATCTGCAAACTCTTGTCATTAATAATAGATATTAAGTACCTAGACAATAAAACTACTACTATTGTAAGAGAAGTTCTCAAACAATCAGGGAATATTTGCCTAATAAAGGATAAAACATATGTATACTCCTCTATTTCTGTTTCTTTATTCATTAGCCAGGACACCGGTATAAAGTCAGATGATCTTTTCTAGAGAACAGCCAAGCCTAACTATCAGTTACTGGATGCCCAAACATAATTAGCAGGCATTTCAGAGAACCTTTAGACTGTCTTACCTCTTTCTTTTAAAGGTCCCTGAATTTACTGCCCTGCAATCACCAACTTCCCACTCCACTGAGACGTCCCAGTATGCACTGGGTTGTTGATGTCAGTAACATCACTGATCGGTGATGGAGCCAGGAATCTGCCTATGAGGAAAAGGTAAGTTTGGTTTTATTCAACATGGAGCAGATCTCCAAGGTTTTCTTTCTAAATTCTTATTTTATATCCAAAGCGATTTAAAATAAGAATACTGAAAACATTAAGAATCTTAATGTCTGCAGGTTAGATGAAATGCCTGCTAATTAGTAACTACACCTATCGGGGGCTTCCAGAGGCTATGAGCTATTTAAATACAGTCTAGGAAAAAAACCAAAACATAAAAATTGAGAAATATTCTTTTAATAGTTCTTATTCCACACCTGACGTGCCAGATTGAAGCTTCAGTCCAGAGTTACTGGTAGATGCAAAGGCAACAGATTTGAAATGTATGACTTTACAAGTCAATTTAGATAGAGAATGTATGCCAAAGCAATACCACATGCACAAATATGTAAGTTATTTAACACATGTTTAGGCTCAATGTATTTTTCTAGAAACATTTGAGGAGGAAACTTTATTTCAGTGAGATGTCAGTGTGGTACGTTATTTCAGCTCTACTGACTAAAATTAGGACAGATACATTTTTTTTTCCTCTCAAAGCCATGGAGAGGGTACATAGAGATTGGGATTAGTTTACAGCTCCTACTTTCTCCTATTTTCATGTTCAAATCATAGAATACTGAAACACACCCCAACAAAAATGGTGTCAGGCAAATATGCTTTAAATTAAAACTAGCAACCAGGCAGTATAAATACACCAACACAAGTCCTTTGTCTGTCTGAGAGAGAATGAGGAGACAGAGCAAGTGCAGAGGACAGAGAGAACAGCTGAGTCCTTTGAATGAAAACTGCAACTACACAGGGGTCAGGAGCTGCCGTGGCCCCAGTGCTACTGCTCCTGTAAGATGGTTTTGCCAAGTGGTTTCCCAGTGAAGCAGCATGCCATGACTCATCACCCAGGCTGACACTTCCACTGATCAGATGCCCATCTGCCCTGTTGCATTTATGGTCTAAGGTCATGTGAGATCTATAGGCCACATTATTCCAATAGAATACTTCCATGTCTGAATTTTCCCAGTAGATTTTTACAGTACAAAAGCCAAGTTGTGCAAGTCTTGTCCCTCTCCATTCACCAAATCAGAAATCACCCTGTTCTAAGTTAAGGGCTGATTCTGCTTTCCAAAATAAACAAAGAATGCACTTTGTACACTTCACTGGTGTAAATCTTTAAACAGATAAATAGTTGCTATAAAGTTTAGTCTCTAACAAGCAGGTGCTACAAGAGTACAAATTCTAGAGAGAGACTCTAGTGTAAGAGTCTCTTTAGGGACACGCCTGCACAACGACAGAACTCATTATTTGCTTATTAAACATTACAAGCTTTAAAACCATTTTGATGTCCTAAAACCTCAGTTCACATAACACAAATTACAGTGGTGCTTCAGACAGTCTGTGCAACAAAACCTCATCCTAAATAACTAACATACAGTGTTAGTTGAGTAAGAGAGGGGACCAAACACAACAATAAAACAACCAAAACCAGGTGGTGTTACACCTCAGACAGTGACAAAGGAAAAGTTGACACTATTGATGCTTACCTGGGATTGTTTTTTAATGTATTTACTAAAAATTCATGGAGATCTATACCAGTGGAATCCGTGTATTCTTGGCTGGAATCTAAGCATGGGGTGTGGGGGGAAGAGAGCAAAATTAATACTAAATATTAATATTATACTTTAACAATTACTGCTGAGCATGTTATTTACAGATAAATATTCTATGTAAACTATCGGTCAAATTATTCCCAAAATTAAACAGTTCCAGTTTCCAGGGAAAAGGCTCACAAATAAAGAAAACTCCAAAAACAACCCCAACAAACAAAACCCAACCCAACAGCACCTCCCCCATTCCCTTAATTCAAGCCTAATAGAGAGTCAAAACCTTCAGTTACACTGACATGTTATTAACATATTGATGCACATGTTGAAACAGTATATCCCCTAGAGTCACCTGGTTTCTCAACATGCCACCCTGCAGACCTATATACACTTCTGTGGACCAGCAGCTGATCTACAGAATTTCTGGATGTTGCCTGAAGAAAGACTGTCATTCAGAGTGCAATGGTTTGAGCTTCACAAATGTTATTTTGTAATACTAAAAAATCCTTGTTTGACTTCATTTTCACAACAACGTTTGCAAGTCTTCAAAAAGAAGTCTCACAACCTTCTGTCTCCTTTCTGGTTTGAGTGAAAAAGTATTCAAAGCTACATTTTGTTCTCTAAAATCTGTCACTGAAATAAATTTAGCACCAAATCTTCTCTTAGATGAGCACCTTCAAGAGTTTCAAGCCTCAGAAGCAAAAAGTAGAGGTGTTTTAATTGTATTTTTGAAACTCGATTTCTTCGAAAGGACTACTTATGTGTCAACTTAGTCTCAAGTCAGGCACAGCTCAAACTTATGCCTAGATTCTAGCTGTTCCAGGTCTTTGTGTGGTCAGTACAGAGAGCAGCCATTGCAAATTAGCTCCTATTAGCCAGGAGGGAACTACTGCACAAAGAAGGGCAAGATTCAGTGCAGACAGACACTACTGAGGCTTTTCCACAAGAAACAGCAGTGCCAGCAGAGCAGCCTCTTGCCATAGTGTGAAACTGGGTGCCCAGTCTTCAAAAATGAGACCTACATTTTTCCTGGAGAGAAATCTAAATGCACCTGAGGACAGGGACTCTCTAGTTCCCTAAGGAAAAATGACAGTGGGATTCTCTATCTGCAGAGCTCATAACGCTATAAATTGTGCCCTTATATTATTGGGAGACTATAAATGAAGCCAAGGAAGTCTGAGCATCCATGGTTTGGGATTACTTTTGAATCTGATGACGGGAAAGGGAAAAAAAAAAGTATGCCTGTTAGAACAAGTATAATATTGAATAATTATTTACTGTAATTATCTTAATTTGCAAGTGAGAAATAATTGTTATAATTACTAAAACTGATGCTTAAGTTCCATCATTTTCTATTTTGGCACATGCTAAATTGGGAAGTAATTAACCTCCAGAGGAGGTACTAGATGAATTTAAAACAGCTTCCTCTACCTTATGCATTTTGTCACTTTTCTCTGAACTCCTCATCATTACTTAAAAAGTTGAATGGTTTGTTTGTGTGTAGGGGGTGTGTTTTGGTTTTTTTGTTAATTTGTTTGTTCTGGTTTGGGTTTTTTTTTGTTTTGTGGGATTTTTTGCATGGGGCAGGGGGGAAGGTGGCTAGGTTGGGTTTGGTTTTCGTTTTTTTAATTTTAGAAGGTGTACATGTACTTTAACAGCTGGGCAAGTTAACTCTGAAAGAACACCATAGTTTTTTTAAGGTATGATTTCAAAGACTAAGATTTATAAAGACAGTTAAAGTGCTCCATCCCGGTGCTTTTTATTTTCTAAGTCCCTAGGTGCCAGCTGGGACAAGATGCACTCAAATGCCACATGAAGGCCTTACGGAATTGAAGGACACAAGATAGACAAGTTCTACCTTTCTCAAAAAGAATTCTAGCTTTAAAGATATTTCCTACCCAATGGTTGACCTAAGATGTTTAGATAAACATTCCAGATCCTTTAATAAATGCAGGAGTTGTACCATGATTTGCCAGTTTAAGTATATGAAATCTTCTACCTTGAGGAGGCACTAGGAAACATGGACAGACATGCTTACATCTTTAATTTTGCAGTTCTATTCCAGATTAAAAACCCAAATATTTTCAGCGGATAGAGTAGATCCTCAATGCAGAATCCAAGAGTCAAAACACAATACCCGTCATTTTTACTTGTATAGTTCTACCCTTGCTTTACAACGTCATAAAAAATTCTAGATATTATCAAATGTAAAATAAACAAACAAGACCATGGACATCTATTGAATAAAGATCAGAAAGGTACAAAGGTAGTTGTCATTCTCACTGAAGTTTCACAAAAACCTGTAACCAAGTTTAGGAATAGGATAAATTCTACTGACTAGGAAAGTCAGTATTCCAGAGAACCCTTGGACACAACTGAGGCAACACAGCTGCTCCTGTGCTGATCTGCACAGCTAGACAGGCAAGCAGGAGAAAGCATTTGCTGGAGTATGAAGCCTGGAAGGCACTGTATCACCTGGGACCAGTGCATTCTCCAGCTCAGAGACGTCTGATCTACTTGCTTAATTTGCTAACAAAAAAGTAATATTTATGCAATGATGTCCTGGAAGCAAGCCGAATTTTCTATAAATATTATTTATCTACACAGTACATTCAAAAGCATAATTGCAGACAGCAAACCTCTTGATAACATTTTTCTGGACAGTTTATCACCGGATTTCTCTTTTTCTGTTTCATCTTTTGCAGGCTTTTCCTCTTTTTCAAAAGACTGTGACAACTGGATCTGAATTTTCTCCTGTCAAAAGTAAAAATCTGTCATCATGGAAATTATTTCAAACAATACCTGCACATGAACTCTTTTATACTATATGACCTGCAAAACAAAGAATTAACAAGGAAAATAATTGTCTTCATGTTTTCTGATCCCACATATAGTACATATGACCACAAAATAAAATTATTTATCAACAAATCAGAAACTAGAGAAGACACAGAAAGTACCACACACATTTTATAATTTACACACACTTCCAAATCTGAATGCTATTTCAAAATGAATCCAAAATACCTTGATACACATACAAAAATACCCCAGTATTTCAGATGTATACATTTTACAGAGCTTCTAAACTTCAGTAATGCATCATCCACAATACTTTCCCCCACCCATTCTTCACAATACTTGACTATAAAGCTTGTTTTAGGCGTCAATTTCATTTAGACAAAGAAAAAAAAAACCCCAAACACAAAGGTTTTAATCCAAGACAGACCACCCCAGATCTACAAAAAAGGAAAATATTTACAGTACAATATATCAAGGAAAGTTTGCAAACCTTACTGTCATCCAGGCGTAGATTCTTAACTTTGTGTATTTTGTTACAATGGCTTTCTGTGCAATCATCTCAAAATCTGTGTTTTTATACAAGTAGGTGAAGTATCATAAAACTTGTTTCCCAAATACAGCAAAAAAAGTTTCCCTTTGAAATTATAGTGACATAATGGTCCCCTGAATAGTGGAAAACTAATTTTTGTTTTTCATGCTTCTTTACTTTTAACAAGATTGTCAGTGAAGACTAACATATTTCAGACAGCAAAAACAGAGCAGGTAGGGCAAAATAGACACCCTATGTGTCTAAATGACTCCAAGAGGAAAAAAGGCAAAGTCCTGTAAGAGCAAGATTCCCCCATTACCTTTTAGCTCCCTCAAATGTTGATTTTGCTTGCCAGATGCACGGAGTTGATGCTATTACCAAGAACACCTGATCCTTCCCAACCCAAAGAACACACCCCTCATCCATTCTTGCCTGTCACTCTTCCCTCCTGCACCTAATCCTTTCCAACAAAGTTCTCACTCTTCCTTCAAATCCATTCTTACCCATAGACAGGCACCTACTCTAAGCTTCTCCTCACGTGTCGTTCCACAGACTTGATCTGACTCATGTAAGCTGGCCAGAGTTAAATATAGTCAGGATTCACCCAGGCTAAAGACTGTTTCACATGCAAATATATCCTTGTACAACCTGCAGTAATGCTCCTCCCTGCCACAGCACAAACTGCTCCCCCTGCCGTGGCTCCTTCAGAGCTAGGCCATGGGAACCCCACACTCATGAGGTTACATGGTTAAAAAATTATTTCAGTATGCATTTTTGGAATAACAGCTTTTTGAAATAAAGGGAAAAAAAACCCAAACAGTTAATAGTTTTATCAGCTCTCTTTCATTATGATTTTTCCCCCTACATTAAATGTTCTAATTAAACTTAATACACATACATCCTGCAAAGCAGCATTACAAGTGTGACGACTCCTCAGTTTCCATGACACTATGTATATCTAAGTCTGATAAAAAACCATTACCAATCACAAATAATGAACTCTTTTGTATAATTCTTTCCAAGTCTTGAGAATCCATTGGCCTACAAACTTTAAAGAATCCAAACCAAATCTTTGCATTCCTCACCTCATAAAACCTGAATATAATTCAAATGAGCAATTCATTTATCACCACGAAGTGCATTACACCTACTGTCCACCTGGCAGCTGCATAACAGCTAGTTGAAAAGGAAACAATCATGGTTTATGTCTTACTAAGAAATAATTTCTGAATTGGATCCAATGTTATTCTTGATTTTACAATACAAAACTATCAGTTAACTAAGGAGATTTTCATAGCCTGATTTTCCTTCACTAGAAAATCTGTTGACTACATACATACTCTACACTCAAAGTAAAAGCATACAGCAATAGTTTAGTCAAATTATTTCAGAAAGTACTAATTTTCATACCTCTCTCCCCAACGAGAGCTAAAAAGGGAATATGCATCTGAACAGCCAGTTCTTCTACTACCACCAATTCTACTTCAAAGTGTGATACAAGAAAACTGTGTATCAAAGGGCACTTTCTTGTGAGATTTCATGCTATAAAAACTGCAGCATCTAATTAAATATGACCTACTTGACTGGAAAGCTGCTGAAAAATCTTTCAGCTTCTATTCCCCTGAAATTCTTTTAATCCCACTCTGTTTGTAGTGGGTCTCTGCTGGCATACTGATTTAACAGACTCCTCACTCTTAACTCAGATCACTCTCTGAAGTCCTTATTGTAGCAGGAGAAATTGTCACCCAATGCCGATTAAACAAGGAAAAGCCAAACAAAAAGCACCCTCCCCCCCCTCCCAAACCCCATAAAAACCCAATAAACTTCTCCAGCTTAAAACACTTGAGAAAAAGGCAGGAGCCAGGAAGCATTACAAAATATTACTCAAAGGCCCTAAGTCTTTGGGTCCTGGCTTTTGACCAACAATCACCTGAATTTACACAGTAAATACTATAAACTAACGTTATATATAAAATAAACTAACATTACAAAACCTGGTCTTCTCCCTCCACTCCTCCTCCTTTGTGTTGTCTTATGTTGCAAAAAAAAAATAAATAAACCCCATCTTGTGAAGGTTTATTTACTCATTACCCATAATAACAGTCATGCATGTGGAAACAGCCCTTCCTTAAAGAGTTGGAATGGAGCATCCTTTTCTATTGTCAGTACTTTGTCTTAGACCAGAATCAGAACAACTCTAGCACCCAACTTTTATACAAAGGAAGGCAGGAGAATATAGTTAGTGTATTTACAAAGATAAAATATCAAATCAGTTACTTTCCTCCTTCTGTGATAAATTGATAGCTTTCATAGCACCTTTTAGTAAAAAGCTCTCAGTGGCTTTTAGCAATCAAGGCTTAAAAATCTGTGAGCTTTTGCTTAGGTTTCTCAGTAAGGAACAGTATCTTTTTTGATGTTGCAACTGCTCAAGAAAACAAGCATAGCAGACAAATTGATCTGTGTGACACCGTCTGGTCTGTCAACCTCTCTTGCAGCCTTCTGAGAAGAAGCTGCCAGCGATGGCAGCAGAGACTTGCTAAGTGCCTTCTACGCCTGCACAAGTTTTACCTTGCTAAGAGCTGCTGTACACTCTGGTGTGGAAAAGGTGGCTGACAAACAGTCACAGGCAAGACTACAGAGTTATCCCAAAATTCACACCAGTTCCTAGGCAAGTAAGTTTATTTTTAATCCTATTGAGGCAAACACTTACTGATCATTAAAAATTGGATTCTTCCAATTGGCAACAATTTCATTCATCCTAACTATTAAAATCCATTTTAAGTATGAAGACAAAACTATTTGTCAGTTGCAATCACGGAGACAGCACAGCAATTACTTTTCCAGCAAGGGGAAGCCATGACAGCCAGAGAGTGCAAGACAAGCCATTGGACCTCCCACACATCCCAAGCACAATAAATACTTCAAAGTGTGGGGCTTGAGGCAGCCAGCAGCTGATAGGTGCTTACAGAATATATCTTCTATGCCATTCCCAAAGATTCTTCGGGAAAGAAAGCAAAATAGGTGTAGAAATTGCCTGTTGAGTTGTTACAGAGGCTCATGGAAGACTCGTCAGTGCCCCATACACTCCAGTATCAGAACTTGTAACAAATTCCTACTTCTAACTCTTCTCTTTCAACATGTATTTCTTCAGTCTACAGAGAGGAATTAAATTTATTATTTCCATCATTTGCAGTTATTGGGATTCATAACCCATTTTTTCTAGATAACTGTTTCTAAGGAAAACTCACAGTTCCAATTTTGTTTCTTAATCTACAGTCTGGTCTATGGTATTCCTTCCGTATTAACTTAGGTTGTAACACAATTAAATTCACCCTATAGGACTGGCCTTTACATCTCTTCTATTACTGCAATACTTCCTTTTAAAAAGAACCTTGCACTAGACAGCTAAGGATAGATTCCCAGAGGACACAGTAACAAATGCCATTTGCAGAGAATGCTTATTATAAGTGTCTGACTTTAAACCATTAAATACATGGTGCTGCATAGCACTGAAGGTTTTTAAAATCCTTACATATGTAATTAGACCCAGTGACTGAAAAAACACAGGAACAGTAGATTTTGTTTTAAATTCTTTGAAGTATTTTTACATTTTTCCCAGCATTTAGGAACTTCTTTAGCTGTGTTTTATCATCTTAACAGATTAGTCTTCAGATATACCTCAGGCATGTGCTAATAGAACTACCAGCACTTACTACTAATATGCAGGAATTTCGTTAAAACACACCAACTTACAATTGTTTAAATTTTCTAAATATAAAAAGCCAATAAATTAAGCTGCATATTAATCAACATCTTTGTTTTACTGATGGCAGACAGCAGTTAAAAAGTTTAAGACTGCCTCAACTGCACTGTAACACTAGAAAGTTAAAACAATAAAATCCCTCTTCCTGTTGCCCAGTTATCAACCATTATAGTTCAGAAAAACAAACCAGCAAATTCTTCATCTAATGTTGTCAGCTCAATTAAAGCTGTATTAGAAAAAAGATATTAAAATCATATGGTGTCTGCACATTAAAAAGAGTACCCAAAATATTGACCCTTGAACAATAAGTTACTTCAAATTGCTTCAGATACTTCAGTAATGTGATTTTTACCTGGAGGTCCTGTGATATTTCAGCTGTAGGAGGTGGTGGATATTCTTCACATACAGCAAGGCTCCGAACTAACTTTAACTTTGTGTTTGACTAAAGGAAAGTATGTAAAAAATATGGCTTATCAAAAATTAGATAAATAAACCATAAGCCGTCATTTTCCCCATTCATTTTATGTAAAACAAAATGGCTGAAAGCTGCATTTTTTAATAGTTTCAACAGAATAAATGATCTCCTTTAGGAAGAAAATATCCAAGCAATTGCAGCTTTTTGAAGGCACTGTCAGCACAATAGAGCACATCTAATGAAAAGTAAATAAAAATCTTTGGGAAAGTGTTTCTCTCCATAACAATAAAAAGCCACCAAAAATATAAAGGCAAACCACAAAAGCAGACAACTAGGCAAGACAAAAATCCAACAGAATAAAACAAAGCTTCAATGCTAAAAAATAAAACTAAAGGCACTTTTCACAAAGTAACAAAGCTTCATCAAGCATGAAGGGCTTCCTTAGCATGCCAGCACACAAGTCTACTGTACCTTTGACCTTTTTGCTGTCTGTCCAAAAGATTGCACTGGCCGCTGAATGATAGGCACAACAGAAAAGGTTGATATTAAACTCAAGAGTACAATTTTATTAATGCAAAACTCTGTACAGGAGAAAGTTTTAATGGTTATTACTGACATGATGGTCAAATCTGTGAAAGGAACAGCAGGTGCTTTTGGCTGAAGGATTATATACTCTCCCATTTTCATTGTGCTTGTCCTTGATTTCTCTTCTTCATTTATAAAAAACACATTACAGGAATTTAACAGGAAGCAATATTCTTGTTCAGTAAGATACAAGCAGTTTACTCTCTCAGCTGTCTCCTACATTTTAAATTCTTGTATCCTAATTTCCTTGGTAACTTGACATGGTTTTTTATAATTTGTCTTCCTATTCCTGAAATCTACCAAGAAAAACTGTATAAAAGAAAAATAAGCATTGCCTCTGTGAGAGGAACCCATAAAACATATGGGGTTGGCTTTTTTTTCATCTCAGAAGTATGAAAGTAGACTTGAAAATCGGCTACTCGTAATTTCTTTTAATTTAACTTAGTAACTTATTTGCATTAGTTTGCTCTCTCTCTTCCCATATCCCTTCTTCTATTACTGTTTCTTAAAAATAAAAAAGACATCAACAGAATTTTGCTGCACTAAGCATGACTGAAAGGTACATTTGAATCAAATTTTTAAGTAACTGCATACTTAAAACTAACTTAATCCTCTGTGGCAGTTACACAGAAATAGAAGCACGTACAGTGACATAATTTGTACTGGTTTCACTGTAGAAGTAAAACTGGTAAATAGATAACCCTTTAAACAGAACTGGTTTTACTGAGCACAGGTATAATATTTGTAAGGAAAAAGTAACACTGGTACTGAAATTTCAAACGTTGTTTAGTGGGCAATATTTCCTCCTTTAAGAAAGGGGTATCCTTTCAGAGGGAAACTAACCAAAAACTCTGTATGCAGGGGGGTGGATCTAGATGACCTTTAAGGTCCCTTCCAAACCATTCTGATTCTACAACTGAAAACTACATGAAGACAGCCCTCCCTTAGGAGCAGATGCCTATTAGGTGCCTAAATTTCTTAGCAGGACATACATATTGCTAAAAAGAACACCTACCCTAGAGTAAAGTGCTCTGTCACACAAAGGCAGAACCACCACTCACTCGCTCTCATTTTCCTCGAGTCCCAAATGTCTTTTTTGGATGTTGTGCCAGCTCAGCTGAAGTGCACAGAAGGGGAGCTCATTTAAGCTCTTTTCACTATACAACAGGATTTTAAATAGCAGCACTGAAAACTAACTCAACTCATCATCAGTTTTTTAAAGGAAGCTTGCTGAGATTTTGAGCAGCAAAGACAGTTCAAATGTTCTCATACCTGGAATAATACAGAGACTTTCAAGTTTTGCTGGTACGTGCAAAATACTTTTTTCTTTCCATCAGCTGTGCTGAAAGCATATATTGCATATTGAAAGCTGGTACTCTGCATATCCCTGGCAAAGCTTCTGTTATCCCAAGCTACTAAATTTTCAAGAACTGGATGGTTTCCCAGCCTCATATCTATTACTGCAGAATCAATTATCTTAGGTGGGTTCAAATCAAATGGTGTAAACTTAAAACCAAATCAGCACTGCCAGTGAAGTCCTCAGCTCACTGTCAAAACAACAGGCAAAAAACCCTACACTTAGGTAATTGTTTAACTTCTGCAAAATTTTGGAAGCTGTGAAGCCAGAATCTATCTGAAAAGAGTATGCAGAAGCAAACATCCAAACATCGGGGGGAATCAACTTCCCTCTGCAGGACATAAGACATTTTGAACCAAACAATTTCTGATACTATTAACCAAAACTACACATGACTTACCAAAGACAAGCATCAATTACTTTAAGAGTGATTTACAAAATAAAAACAGGTAAGAGATGGTTCCTACTTCCCAGCAACAATATAATAATTCCATTTAAATAATATCTGTGCAAAGCACGTCTCTTTCTCACCTTACCTCAGTAGTCTCAGGAACTCATTGCAGCCAAAATTTAAGTATGTTTGTTCAATGCCCGATAAAGTGAAGCAAAGGCTTCAAAATTTGAGATCTTGAAATTGAAATTTTCTAGTAAAAAATCTGAATTCTTTGTAAGAATATTTAGAACAAATGTGAGTTCCAGATTTCAGTAACAACAGGACAAGTTTGATGATCCACTCCTCTAAGTGTTTTGTGCATGTTGTAGCTCATCTTACGTTTTGCTTGTGAAATAACAGTTCTGCTTCCAGGTTGGAAAGCCAACCCAAGTGACACTGTCTATTATGCTGCAGTTAAAAAAATTATTTTTAATAAATGTTTTTTAAAGATAGCTGTTTGCAATACATGAGGAATAAGTTAATCAAATCAATATAATGTATTCAGGGATGTAAACTGAGGTATTTTAATACCATGGAGCTCTATTTCATGAGCATCTGACAGTAACACTGGGGAGAGCTGGGGGGTCACTGTAGGAGGGAGATTCTCCCTTGACTGAAATCACACAAACCTCAAAGCTACCTAAGTATCATGCCAACCATCATATGAGGACTTGTTATCTAGAAACAACTTCTAAAACCTTAGGCATGGATTCCTTACTTCCCTGCATGACTTTAAGGAGAGTCAAAACCTAAAATACAACCCCCCCCCTCCTCTAGCCATAACT